TTATTTTTTCATTTTTTGTAGAGATGAAATCTTGCTGTTACCCAGCTGATCTCGAACAGTCCTCTCAAGGTGCTGGGATTACAGGTATGAGTCACTGTGCCCAGAATCTCCTATAGTTTTGTGAGAAATTGCTTCAAAGTGTAAATCTGTACTGTACTGGTATAGATCAGTGAGGGAGAGAGTGGATATTTTAACAATAGTTATTCTTCTGGCCTAAGAGCATATTTTTCTTTCTTTCTTTCTTTTTTGAGTTGGAATCTCACTCTGTTGCCCAGGCTGGAGTGCAGTGGCACTTTCACGGCCCACCCCAGTGTTGACCTGCTGGGCTCTGGCGATCCTTCGTCTCAGCCTTCCTAGTAGCTGGAACTACAGGCGTGCGCTCCCACGCCCGGTTCAGTTTTTGATTTTTTGTAGAGATGTGATCTCGTCAAGTTGCCCAGGCTGTTTTCAAACCTGTAGGCTCAGGCAGTCAACTCACCTTGGCCTCCCAAAGTGCTGGGATTACAGGCTTGAGCCACTGCGCCCAGCCGAGCATACTTTTCTGAGGGTTTTTCTTTTCTTTTCTACTTTTTTTTAAGAGATGGGGTCTCAGTCTCTCACACAGGCTGGAGTCCAGTGGTGTAACCATAGCTCATCATAACCTTGAACTCCTAGACTCAAGTGATCTTCCTGACTCAGCCTCCTGAGTAGCTGGAACTATAGGTGTGTGCAACCACGCTTGGCTAATTAAAAAAAATTATATGAAGGAAAAATGAAGCAGGCAAAATAAAAAACAGGAAAATAAATTTTTTTAGAGATAGAGTCACGCCAGGTTCTCAAGCTGGTCTCAAACTCCTGGGCTCAAGCAGTCGTCCTGCCTCAGCCTCCAAGTAGCGGGCTCTGCGGAATCTCTAGGGCCAGCCCGGGAGTGGTGCCTGCCAGGCGCGTCCCCAGGGCAAGGCTGGCTGTGTCTGGGCGGCAGTGGCAGTCCCTCGTCTGCCCGGGCCCAGTGGCAGCCCTTCGTCTGCCCGGCGGTGCTCCCAGCAGGGGAGCCTGGGGGAGCACAGCGGGGAGCTCTCTTCGCAGCTCCACCGTGAGAGTGCCGAAGTGCCGTTCTGTTCCTCCCTTCCTGGTGTCATCAGGTGTTTCTCCCTTATTTACTGAAATGGTCATAGAGTTTTCCTCCTTTGTTTAATAATTTAATTGGTTTCCTTAGGCTAGAATCAACCTGGAATTCTTGGGATACATCCCACTTGATCATGATGTATTGCTGTTTTTATATATTCCTGGACTCTGGCAATATGCTCTACTGGAAAAGTGAGGATTTTTGTGTTTACGTTTATGAGGGACTTTAGCGTGTGTACACACGCACACACGCCCACACACCCACAGACACTGTCTTCTTTCTTTATCCCGTTTCGGAATCAGGGTAATACTGGCCTCCGGGGATCAGCTGGGGATTCTTGGGGGAGGAGAGTCGCGGCGTCGGGCTCTCGCCGTGCGCGGCTGTGCGGATCCCGCTTCCTCTGGCCCCTAGAACTGCGCTAGCGGGAGGAACAGTAAGGGGAGAGGCCGCCTCACTCGGACGCCCGGGCTGGGGTGCAGGGCCGGGCTCTCAGCCGTCTGACACGTCTTAGCGGAGTTCTTTTCTTTTCGTTTTCATGCGCTCGTTGAGTCGGAGTCTCCCTCTGCCGGGCTGGGTGCCGCGGCCGGCTGGGCTCCGGCG